CAGTCGCCGGCGCCGTACCCAGTGAGGGAGAGGAGCCGCAGGGTGTGGCCGCTGAGGGGGTTGGGGTCCATCTCCCTTGACGCAGCCAGTTGACGGGCGAAGCGGGCTGCGTGTACCTCCAGGGCCAACTGGTGCTGGAGAGGATCATCCGAGGGCTCAGCCCGCTCGGCCTGCAGGAGCGCCAAGGCTGGAGCTGGGAGGGCCGACTCGCATTTCGCCAGCCAGGTATGGAGACGCGAGGGTCCGATGAAGGGAAGGGCCAAGGAGCAGGCCGCTGCAGCGAGTGGGCCTGTCGGGTCCGAAGGAAGGGATATGAGCAGCCGGTGGGCCTGTGTGACGCTGGTGAGGAAGGCGTGCGGGCCCTCTACTGCGGGGTCTGCGAGGCCGAGGCCGCCAAGGGAGGGGGGCAGAGAGGCTTGGTGCCACGTGCGCGACCGCTCCTGTTCACCCCGTGGGAGCTGAAGTTTGCACGAGAGGAGGAGGGTATGGAAGAGCTTCTGTCCCCAGTTGGACCATTCCTCGGACGGCAGCGAGTCAAGGGGGGTGGTGCGGGTGAGATAGGATACGCGTCTTGAGACGCAGCGGTGGAGGAGGAGGCCCGCAGCCTGGGGGTCCATGGTCGCCAGGTCGGGGAGCGGTCTGGCCAAGTCGGCCAGCTGCTCCCGAAGGAAAGCGGCTGTGGCTTCAGTGGGGCCGAGGTGGCTTTCGAGGACGCGCAGGCCGTCAGTGCGGAAGGGGATGCCTGGGGGGAGTATGAGGCTGGGGGGCTGGGAAGCTGACCACGCCGCGCACTTGGAAGGGTTGTGCTCGAGGCCCAAGGGGCGTAGGGCCTCCGTGAGATGGGTGAATGCCGACGCGCATTCCGACGGCTCTCCAAGCAGCGTGATGTCGTCGGCGTAGGCGAGGCAAAGCACGCTAGGAAACGCCGAGGCTGTCGCCTGGAGTGCCGGGTGTAAAGCCGCCGCGAAAAGCAGGGGGCCCATGGGGTCCCCTTGACGAACACCCCGGGCACTAAGGAGGGGTTCGCTGCAGAATCCCGCATCTAGGTAGAGTCGCGACGGAGCTCCGTAGGAGAGTTTGACGAAGGGGAGAAGCGGCCGGAGGGGCGAGTTGAAGAGGCCTGCCACTATCGCGGCTCTATCAACGCTGTTGAAGGCGTTTGACACGTCGACCTGGAGTACAAGGGCGGATGGAAATTCGGATGTGTATGCGCGGGCACCGTGGACGATCGCCTCGCCACCCGCGCGTACTGCCACCCCGAACTGCAGCGGGAGGAAATGGGTCTGTGCCTGTGCCGTCATGGTGAGGAGGCCCGCCTTCGCCACGAGGCGGTGCAGGCACTCGCCTATGGCGATAGGTCGGGTGCCGCCTCCGGGCTTGGGGAATGCGATTAGGCGACTGGCGGTGAGGAGGGCGGCGATTTCGGCTGTGGAATCCCCTTTGAGCAGGCGTAATGCGAGCTCATGCAATTTGACAGCGACTGAGTTGTTGGCGAGGGCGGCTTCGCGAATGTGCTCGAAGCACATTCCTGAAGGCCCTGCGCCCACTCCGTTTTCGCAGCGACTCAGCAGACGAATGAACACGTCCTGCGAAAACGAGGGGCCCGCCTCTGACTCGTCGAGGATGGGCCAGGCGATTGACTCGGTCAACGGAGCGGGGTGCTTGGACTTCAGTGCCTCGAGGACGTCGGGGGTTGAATCGCTGACCGGGGTCGAGTCCAGTGCCAGCAGGGCACGTCGGAGACTGCCACGGCAGACAAGCCCCTCTGCCCGCTTCTGCCTGCCGATGGTGTCCGGCATGTGGCGAGGTGCGGGGGGGTTAAGCACAGCATCGATTGCTGACAGGTACAGCGATTGCCAATCGCCCGCGAGGAATTGTTGCAGTTGCTTTTCCACCGCGGCCCAATCAGGGTGCTTGGGCGAGTGCAGGCGAAGGGTTAGGCGAGGGACGAAAAGTAACAGGCGCCAACCTGCGAGGCTGGTTGGCCTGTGTGCGATGTGTAGCAGAGGTGTCAGGAGTGCTAGGGCGAAGAGCTGACGAAGTTTGGGGGAGATTCTGCGGGAAATCGGGGGTTGGCGACTGTCGCAAAGCAGGTCGATATCCCATCCCGCCACCCCGGCGAACAGGGATTCGTTGGACGACAACTCCTGTGGCGAAAACTGCCGTGGGTTCTGGATATCTGGCGTACTACTGGCGCGGGAGGTACGCGTATTTCGCGCACTCCCTCTGGCAGCCTGGGCGGGAGAGTCCAGTGGCTGTGTGTTCGCAGGTCCTTGTCCGCGGGATCTGAGCGATGGGGACGGATTCCCGCCTTGCCTGCGTGACAAAGTTCGCTCCTCCAGAGCAGCACTGGACTCTTCCGTTGATGAGTCCTGGAGCCTCTCCGGTACATAAGTTGCGTCTCGTCTTTCTTCCTCGTCAGTTACCTCCCTCTGCCCTCCCTCCCTTAAAGCCCGGTTAGCAGCCTGCTGGAAGTCGTTCAGCGGGCCGCCATCCCGTGACAAGACGCCTGTCCGTCCTCGACCGCGCCCCCGACCTCTTTGGACCTGGCTTCCACTGCGTGGCACTGCCACACCGCCCGACGCTCGCTGACCATTCCGACGAGCGGGCGACGCCGTGGGGGGCGTCCGGGCCGTCGATGGAGTCACCACGAAATGTGGTGGGAGTCGGGCGTCCCCATCGCGAACGCTCCCGCGATTTGGAGAGCACGGGGGAGAGCGTCCCCCGTCGAGGTCGGGCGAGTTCCCCACCACCCGCGAACCACGGTTGGGAGCGCGGATTCCCTGTCTCGTCAACGAGCCGCCAGCAGACCCCAGAGCGTCTGTCGGGCAGCCGCCGCTCGTCCCCCGCACGTCACGAGCGGAAGGCCCCCGAGCGTGCGAACCAAGACCAGCCGGGGGCGGCGCAGCCTCCGCAGCAGCAGCCTCCGCTGGTCCCACCGCGTCGAGGAACACCCCAGCGGGGGGCGCAAGCGGCTCCCGCCCAGCAGCGCCGGACGCCGCAGGGGCAGCGTGGGCAGTCGGGTCCGCACCGCGGGTGGAGGGCCGGAGGGGGCAACGGGCGAGGTTCGGCTGCGGAGAGGCGGCTGGGTTGCGCTGCCGCGACCTTAGAAAACCTGTTCCGTTCGGTTGCACCGCCTCAGCCCCCGATCGTATGTCCCCCGCCGCAGATTCCGCCCGCGATAGTGCCTCCTCCGTATTCCGTACCGCTGCAAGTGCCGTTTCAACCTCTTCCGACGCCCGTGTCCGCGGCACCACAGCCGCCGCCCTGTCAGGAGCATCTTCAGCCGCCTCCGCCGTCTGCCCCCTGGTACCAGGCCCGGCAACTGCCCCAACATCACCTCGCGCCGAACACACCGGCTGCACCGACGGAAGTGCCGACCATGGGGACGCTGCCAAGCTGGCAGCCGCCAGTGGTGGGGGCATCAGCGGTGGGCTGGTACGATGGCCAGCGGCAGCCGATGGCTCCGCCGTCCTTCGGCGCGCGGGCTGCCGCGCCCTTTGTTCCCCCCCGTATGGCGATGGGCTCGCCGACGGGAGTCGAGGGGGGGGCAAAAGCAGCGGAGACGGGGGGGGCGGAGTCCTCTGATGAGGGCTATCCGTGTGAGGGGTCGGAGCAGCGCCGCCCAGGCGGGCTGCGGATGCCGCCGAGGGTGCAGTTGGAGCGGCTGCGAGGGCGGGAGCGCCTCGTGGAGATGGCGGTCCCAGTTGCCACGCTTCGTCGGCTCTGGCACGCGCGGCGGGCGATGGGGATCGCTGTGGGGATGCTGACGGACTCGCACTCCGTACTACGGGGCTTAGCGAGCCCGTGCAGGATGCCCCATGATCCTCTCCATCGCTGCGCGATGGCTGCAGCGGATCTCGCCGTCGTGTCGACGCGAGTGCAGCCTGCGCCCGCCCGGGGAACAGTGTTGGACCCCCAGCTCCTCGCCGTGATGCGCGCAGTGTCGGCGAGCATAGATTCGGCTGCAGCTGTAGACATCGTTGGCGGAGCCGTGTCAGTGCTCCAGCTCCTGGAGGGCTATGTGACGGCACTGCTGGAAGAAGCGGGGGCAGACCAGCTCGCGTGACCTGCTCCCTCCTGACGTACGTGCGCGTGGGAGACGAGCTCACCAGCGCTAGAGCCTCGGTACGGCGGATTAGGCTCTCCATGTTGCTGGGGATAGTTGCCAGGTGTGTCTGCTTGTGGTCTCTTTTGTGCCGTGGTTGATGTATCCTCGTGTTGTTGAGTCGTAAGCGAAGTATTTGCCAGCCCCTATCGCGCGGCCGCAGGCCGCGCCCTGAGCGTTGGCGGCCGAAGGCCGCCGGCGCGAGCCGCCACCAAGGGGAGGAGAAAAAGAAGAAACCAAACTAAAAACAGAGGAATGAGAGGACAGAGGGCTCTAAATACTAAGGGACATAGGCTCTCTCTCTCTCGCTCTCTCTCTCTCTCGCTCTCTCTCTCTCCTCTCTCTGCCGCCACCAAGGGGAGGAGAAAAAGAAGAAACCAAACTAAAAACAGAGGAATGAGAGGACAGAGGGCTCTAAATACTAAGGGACATAGGCTCTCTCTCTCTCGCTCTCTCTCTCTCCTCTCTCTGCCGCCACCAAGGGGAGGAGAAAAAGAAGAAACCAAACTAAAAACAGAGGAATGAGAGGACAGAGGGCTCTAAATACTAAGGGACATAGGCTCTCTCTCTCTCTCTCTCTCTCTCAAACGCCTGCCTGCTCTATTTCTTCCAGCCTTCGTCTCCCTCCCTCACCCCATCCGCCACTCCGTTCTTCACTCGCCACTTCCGCCCAACCACCCCGCTTCATCCCCCTTGCCCACCAAGCAGCACCGTACAGCCAGTGCATGGACGCCACGTCCAGAGTGTGCCATTGTGAGTCGACTCAAAGCACACCCCCGCGTCATTTCCCTTGTCCCCAACCCGCCGTGGGCCCAGTGCAGGGACGCCATGTCCAGTGCGTGTCTAATTTTGAGCCCCCCCCCCCCCCCTTGATCCACCGTGCCCAACGCAGCGCCATGGGGCCAGTGCACGGACGCCACGTCCAGTGCGTGTCTGCCCGGCGTCTGCAACAACACCCCCACTGGCTTCCTCGGCTGTGCCTGCCCCCCAGGCTTCTCGCAAACCGCCACCAAAGCCGGCACCCCCTACTGCACTCCCGGTAAATCCCCCACCATTCACTGATGCTTGAGATGCGTCAAGAATGACGCACCTTTGATGCCTCCACGCGTTGAGCACTGAGGGCAAGGGCGCGGGGCACCTTCTCTGGCTCTGGGGGTTGGGGCTGCACTCCGTGAGGCGTGCCAGCAGAGTGTGGCGTGCCAGCAGAGTGTGGCGTGCCAGCAGAGTGTGGCGTGCCAGCAGTGTGTGGCGGACGAGCAGAGCGTGGCGTGCCAGCAGAGTGTGGCGTGCCAGCAGAGTGTGGCGTGCCAGCAGAGTGTGGCGTGCCAGCAGTGTGTGGCGGACGAGCAGAGTGTGGCGTGCCAGCAGAGTGTGGTGAGCCAGCAGAGTGTGGCGTGCCAGCAGAGTGTGGTGAGCCAGCAGAGTGTGGCGTGCCAGCAGAGTGTGGTGAGCCAGCAGAGTGTGGCGTGCCAGCAGAGTGTGGTGAGCCAGCAGAGTGTGGCGTGCCAGCAGAGCTTGAAGTCAGTTGCTTCCTCCCATGCCCAGTGCGAGACAACCCCCACTCTCCCGTGCGTATGTGTCTACCTTTACCTCACTTACGAGGGCATCCTACTCTACAGGTGTTAACGGGTCGCCACCAGGCCCCCTATCCCCGCTAGCATCACGACCACCACCACTGGCACCGTCACCACCACCACGACCACCACTGTCACCACCACCACGACCACCACGACAACCACCACCAGCACCACCACGACAACCACCGCCAGCACCACCACGACAACCACCGCCAGCACCACCACGACAACCATCGCCAGCACCACCACGACAACCACCGCCAGCACCACCACGACAACCACCGCCAGCACCACCACGACAACCACCGCCAGCACCACCACGACAACCACCGCCAGCACCACCAGCAACACCAGCAGCAGCACCAGCAGCGGCACCAGCACCAGCACCAGCACCAGCACCACGAGTCCTTCCTCCATTACCGTCAGAACGACCTTCCTCATCACCACCGCTTTCAGTACCAGCAGCACCACTACCATCACCATCATCACCATCGTCAGCAGCCCCATCACCATCATCATCAACGCCAGCACTGCCAGCAGCCCCAGCAGCAGAACCAGCAGCAGCCCCAGCAGCACCGTCAATTCTGCAGCCAGGCATGCAACGCACCTCCTCCCAGCCGCTCCCTGCAGACCAGCCGCCCTCTCCAGGTGTGTTTCCCAGTCTCCTGCAAGCACCGCTCTCCATACTTCCAAGAGTCAACTCTGAGATCTGCTTTCGAGCTACATGCATGGCGCCATCACATGGGCATTGCTGTCACTGCACCCTGTTGCGAGTCCTCTATGGTCTTCCACCCTCAAGCACTGTGCTGGCATGGCAACATGTTGATGCACGGAGGGAAGTTTCGCGCATCCCACTTTGCCTGATCCACTCTCCCCATTCCACTGGCCCCTGTCTCCTCTACACAGATCCATCGTCAGGCATTTCAGCGGGAGTTGTAGCAGGGATCGCGGCCGGCGTCGTTTGTGTTGTGCTGCTCGTTGGGCTGGTCGCATTCCTCCTGGTGCTAAGGGGCCGACAGCGCAAGGAGGAAAACCATGAGGGCGACGCACTGCAAGAGGCTGTCAAGGCAGGAGGAGGAGAGGACGAGGAGGGTCAGCCAGGTATTGCGGCAGAGAAACTTCTGACACCCCGTGAGCCTATCTATGTGCGCACGACCTTGCGACACTGAGATCATGCGGTTGCTGCAAGGAACCTCGGGCATGACAGAGTTTCCTCTGGGAGAACTGAGGCATTGGCTGTTAGCAGCCAAGGGGCCAGAGTCATGCTGAAAGTGCAGCTTACAACAGTGCTCCCTCTGAAACATCCTCCCCACACTTCTGCACGGCTGGGAACATCTTCTCAACCCCTCTTACCCCCTCCTCCCCATAACCCCCCCCCTCCCCCTCCCCTCCTCCCCACCTCCCCTTAGCAGCAGCCCCAGCAGCCTTAGCAGCAGCAGCAGGCGGCCCGGTGGTGTGTCGCGAGCTGCAGTACGGGGAGGTGGTGGCGGCTACCAGCAACTGGTCCCCTGCCAACCTGATCGGGCGCGGGGGCTACGGCGACGTGTACCGGGGAGTGAGCCCCGCGGACCAGCGCACCGTGTGGGCGGTGAAGCGGGCGCGGGTCATCACTAAGGACTTCCGCAGAGAGGTGCGGTGGTGGGGCGGTGGGTTGGTGGGATGTTAATGAATAAGTGAGGAGTGCCAAGCATGTGAGTGAGAGACATCAATTGTCAGTTAGTGACGATGAGATGAGATGTTGGGGTGTGTGCTGGAGACAAAGAGTAGTGGGTTACAAGTGTAGATGCGTGTGTGGTCCTGGAGCAACTTAGGGGTGCAATTAATTTTTTTACTGTGCTCCTTCGAGTTTTGAGTTATTTATTTATTTATGGCGCATGGCATGGCATGAGCAGGTGGAGCAGATGGCGTCGAAGCACCACCCGCACCTGGTGCGGCTGCTGGGGTACTGTGTGCACATGGATGCGCGCACGGAGCAGCACGAGCAGATCGTGGTCTATGAGTTCATGCCCAGGGGCGACCTGCTGCGCCACATGGCGGCTCACAGGGGTGAGCGGGGTGAGGAAGGGGGGAGGGGTGAGAGGGGTGAGAGGGGCAAGGCGCAAAACAACGACAATCGTATTCTATAATACCATTGTTTTTTGCCATTTTAGGAAAGAAAACACCGATAACCAAGGGGGAATGGGCTCTAAGGTCGAGTGATCCCATGTGCCGGTTCAAGGTTTTTATATTTGATTTTTTTGGGACTTGTTGATCGTGTAAAAACTAGACATTATAGGACAACATTCCTGTGGCCGGTAGTCCTTATGGCAGCAAAGAGGTTAGCTCCTCCTCCTCCTCCTCCTCCTCCTCCTCCTCCTCCTCCTCCTCCTCCTCCTCCTCCTCCTCCTCCTCCTCCTCCTCCTCCTCCTCCTCCTCCTCCTCCTCCTCCTCCTCCTCCTCCTCCTCCTCTTCCTCCTCCTCCTCCTCCTCCTCCTCCTCCTCCTCCTCCTCCTCCTCCTCCTCCTCCTCCTCCTCCTCCTCCTCCTCCTCCTCCTCCTCCTCCTCCTCCTCCTCCTCCTCCTCCTTCTCCTCCTCCTCCTCCTCCTCCTCCTACTCCTCCTCCTCCTCCTCCTCCTCCTCCTCCTCCTCCTCCTCCTCCTCCTCCTCCTCCTCCTCCTCCTCCTCCTCCTCCTCCTCCTCCTCCTCCTCCTCCTCCTACTCCTCCCCCCCCCCCCTCCTCCTCCTCCTCCTCCTCCTCCTCCTCCTCCTCCTCCTCCTCCTCCTCCTCCTCCTCCTCCTCCTCCTCCTCCTCCTCCTCCTCCTCCTCCTCCTCTTCCTCCTCCTCCTCCTCTTCAGCTCTCCGTGAGTGCGCTGACTGGATCCGCATATTTTCTTGTGTGAAACGCGAGATCTGCGCGTTTCGGCCATTTTTTTCACCCAATTTCTGAAAACTTCGGCCAAGAAGGGTGAGAGAGGGGAGAGGGGGCTGAGAGAGGCAAGAGGGGTGAGAGGGGGCTGAGAGAGGCAAGAGGGGTGGGTGAGATGAGAAAGGTGAGATGGGAGGGTGGTGGGAGGGGTGAGAGGGGTGAGAGGGATGAGAGAGAAGGGGGAGAAGGGTGAGGAGGGCGAGTGAATGGAGAGGGAAGACCTGCTGCACTACTTGGGTGCACGCAACCAAGGTGAAGGAGAAGGAGAGTGCAGGTGATTGGGACATGGCCAACGTTCACAGACAGCTGAAGGCCACATTTGATTCTCTCTCTCACCTGCATCCCCCCCCTTTTCTCTCCACGCCCCCCTCTCGCCCTCAGCAAGCGCCATGTCACCACTGTGCGTACATCCGTGCCAATCTTATCCCCCCTGCACCTTTTCCCTTCAGGCACACCCACGGGCACCTCGCCACCGTCCCTCTCCCTGCAGCAGCGCGTGCAGGTGCTGGTGGGCGTGGCGCGCGGGCTACAGTACCTGCACAGCTTCGGCATCGTGCACCGCGATGTCAAGCCCGCCAACATCCTGCTCGACGCAAGCATGACGGTAAACACACTCTGTCACTTGGATCACCACACGGCAATGTACGATGGTTGATCGATCTGTCGTTGCTGACAATTTCATTTGTAGAATGCTCTTGGTTCGGGTTATGGAGCCACTGTCATTGGGGCCTAATCAGCCCGCTGTCTCCCTCTTGCATCCCCTTCCTCTTCCGCGCTCTCCATTCTCCAGCCGAAGATAGCGGACTTTGGTCTGGTGAGGATGGGCGACGAGGGCACGGGCGACACGACTCGCATCCTGGGCACGCCGGGTTATGTGGATCCCGCCTACTCCAAGTCACGCAAGGCCGCCCCCGCCAATGACGTGTACAGGTGGGCCGTGCCACCCGCTGCTGCGGTGCCTGCTGCTGCTGCGGTGGCTGCCGGTACGCTCTGTGCCTCTATCGGTTGGTGCGAGTTGTTTCAGGTTCTGGCACTTCAAAATGTGGATACAGGTGGATGGTATTGGGGAGTGTTATCTGCTGGGGTTATATTTTGGTGTTATTCTCTTGCCACCGCAGTATGCTTTCTGCTGTATCCACAGCATCCTTTTTTTTAATTTCTTCCGCCTTTGCGAAGCGTGCTCTCTACTTGGTGCTGAAGTATCATGGCACCTTGCACACGCACCTTGCGTGTCTGTGGCTTCAGATGCCTTGTCTTCCTCCCACGTGGGTTTCCATCAGGGGGGGAGTGACGGAATCTCTCGAATTGCCCTCACATGCCAAAGTTGTTTCATGCTGTGTGCCATGTGCCATGTGCATGTGCTTGTTGGTGGATGTGTCGAGGCCATCTCAAGTGCAGCTTTGGCATTGTCATGCTGGAACTGCTGACAGCTCGCAAGGCAATCCTGCATGAGGGCGACCAGAATCTCAACATCCGCCAATGGGTAACATGCCACAAAGCACTGTCCCCCTGCAGCTTAACCCCGAATTCTACTCCCGTCCTGCTCCCCAGCCTGCTTGCTGCCCCCCTTTTCTGCTGCTACTCACTGCTACCAATGCACCAAGAGGCATACGGTAATCACAGTTGCGTGTTACCATGTGGTGCCCTTGCAGGCAGAGCCATTGGCAGCATCTGGCGATGTTGAGGCGCTGAGGGACCCTCGCCTTGACGCTCCGCCTGACACCGTTCTCCTGCTGGCCCAGCTGGCCCTGCGCTGCACGGGCACGCCTGTATCCAGCCGCCCGCACATGGACCAGATAGTCGCCACTCTCTCTGACTTGCACACAGAGCTCTTTGGGGCGGATGAGAGTGGCAACACGGAGTCGGTTGACTCCATCCTGCAGCGCGTTGAGCATCCGGAATACTCCTTCGACGAGGCCATTGCCATGGCCGGTGCTGCTGGAAGCCACGGTTTGTGACGCGCGCAGTGGATGGGATGTGCGTGTGTCGAGGCCGTTGCAATGGCTGGTGCTGTGGGAAACAGGGTTTGTGACCAGGGCCCGTGATTCAAGGGTATTTCACCCTGATTACCCTTGCCAGCGGCCGTTTTTTCAGGAATACCCTGATTTGGTAAGGGTAAAAATGTTGTGACCCTTTCTCAAAAAGTGTAAGGAATATTTTACCCTGCTGTAGTAAGGGTGCTCGGCGTATTACCCTGACGAGTCAGGGAGCGCCGAAAACCACCCTGGAACTGAAACTCCAAAACCTTGAAGTTCGGCAACTATCGAATCTGCGATGACGGGGGAATCAAGGCGTGCATCTTACATTTCTGAAATCCGGAAAGTTCCGGAACTCGGGCTGGTTAGATGGATCGCATGCATTTCGATGCGGCTTCATGGATTTAACCTGGGGCCAAAGTTTTGCCAATTCCGGAACTTGTTTCACCAATTATAGCTCTAAGACACACGCCCAGGCCTCAAATTTGAAGGGTGTTTTACCCTGATTGCCCTTGCCAGCGGCCGCTTTTTCAGGATCACCCTGATTTTGCAAGGGCATTTTTTCCGTGACCCTTAGTCAAAAAGTGTAAGATTGCTTTTACCCTGTTGTAGTAAGAGTACTTCTCGTTCTACCCTGACCAGACAGGGTATTGCCGAAATCACACTGAAACAGAAGAACGGGCCGCATATTCGACAAGTTTCTGTGTCCAGCTGGCGTCGAACTGCATGTGTGATTTTGGCGAAGGGCCAATCAGGCCCCTCACACCTGCTGCAGCTCGTGTCGGACTGCATCTTTGATTTTGTCGAAGGGCCAGTCAGTCCCCTCACACCTGCTCCAGCTCACGTCGGACTGCATGATTGATTTTGTCGAAGGGCCAGTCAGTCCCCTCACACCTGCTCCAGCTTGCGTCGGACTGCATGCTTGATTTTGTCGAAGGGCCAGACGCCTCTCACACCTGCTCCAGTGCGCCTCGGACTCCAGAACGTGCGTCATTTTGATCAAGGGAAAGTTACGCCCGGTACATGGGTTGCGCAACTAGTCGAGGTTGCACAATCCTGTCTGGTTACCGAGAACGACGAACCTCGCACAACGTGTGAATGATGGGTTGGACTGATTTTAGTCTGGTTATTTCACCAGTGGCGCAACCCGGGTTGCGGTCTCGACGCAAAGCGCAACCCATGTACCACGCCCTCACATGTGCTCCACCTCGTCTCGGACTTCCTGCGTGATTTTAGTGAAGGACCGATATTGTCTCTCACATACGCTAAGAAAGCTGGAAAATTACAAGTTACTGTGCAGTGGACAGGGTGATAATTTTAGTACCCTGTACATTCAGGGTACTCACAGTTTTTTACGAATTTACCCTGATTTTCAAAGGGTGCCGAAAATTTTACCCTAAGAGACAGGGTAATTTGTTTTAGGTACACTGATTACTAAGGGTGCCCCTAAACCAATTTTGAGCCCTGCACACGCCCTCAGCCACGCAGCCCAGACCCTGTCCCCGAAATTCGCAGCACGTTTTTCCCAGCCCATTCTCTCTCACTCCACCTCGTCTCCGTTCCCTGACTTAGTCCCTCCCGCTGTCTCTCAAACACTGCTTCCAAAGCATGGATGAAAACTGTAGCGCGCGACATATCGCAAGTTGACGCGTGCAAGTGCCACATCAGTAAACCTAGTCGCAAATACCAAGAGCCATCAGAAAAACGACCAAGGTACCTGTTAGCAAGTCTTTGTTGCGTGGCAGAACAAATTTTACAGCGCGCCGTTGCCAACCGCCAAAGCCGAAGCACGTTAGGAAAAAACTGGTACAAGTTGGAAATATGCGTGTTGTTTTCAGACAGAGACAATCAGGGTGAGGAAAAAAAATTCCCTGGCAGCATCAGGGTATGGCTTTGGTTTTCCCAAAACACCCTGATTTTGACAGGGTGCGCTAGTTTCCACCCTACATGCCAGGGTAAAAATTTCGATGTACCTTGATTCCTAAAAGTGGCCTAAAACCAATTTCTGGCCCTGTTTGTGACTGGTGCAATGGATGTGCTGTGCCCAAGAGCCCTCTGATAGTGGACGCTGTGGTACACCTTTTTATGGGCACGAGGGTGCGGTGAAGTAGCAGTTGTTTTAGTCCAACTGCACAACCCACAGAAGAAGCTGGTCCACCTGCGTGGAACCACGACCCTGTTAAATTATATCTTATATATAATTCTAGGCTTGGTAGGTGTTACTGAAACTTACTGTAGAGGGTACAACAACCCTCCTTGTATCCCTCACTCTTCTATTCTCAACCTCTTTTCTCTCGTCAACTTCTCGCCTCCTAGATCTAAAACCTCACGCCATTTCTATGGCGTCCTCTTCCTAGCTACCTTAGTTTGTTGGAAAACACCTCGAAGACTTAAGCGTTTCTGAAGTGTAACACTACACTCGAAGAAAAGTCGTATCGAGTACACGAGTCAACGGAGGTAACACGAGGAGGTTTGGACGAAAGAACACGAAAGGACGAAGGGACCCGAAGGTTTGCAACAGGAGGTTGCGACTGACTGTTGCGACTGCAAGGGTTGTAACCGAACCGCTGTGCGACTCGATAACCGTTCCTTCAACTGTATTCTACAACTGCTCTATTTCCTATTTTCTATATATTCCTGTATGCTTGCTTCCTTTAATCAATCACTTGCTCTCACATACTAGTGCAAGGGTTCAACTACTCAACACTTCCGCTGCACTACGCAAACACCTTGTACAAGTGGGACTTAGTCTCTGAAAAGATCCCAAGGGCTTTTCTCAGCCCAATATGGTATGAGAGCTGGTCAGAGACCAAACTCCCAGCAACAACACTCTATCTACAGTCAAGCACATCAAGAGATTCATCGATTACAAGTCATGGACAACAAGGGCAAGAAGTCTTCTACGGGCTCACCTAGCGCCCAAGACACTCAACTCGGCAACTCCGGACTACACACTTTAGGACTACAAACTGAGACCGGCGCTGCTCAAGAAACAACAGGGAGGGTACCAAAAATGGTGACCCCTTCACCCTCTTCAAGCGTGGACCCGAACCTTATGGAAAGGTTCTTCAGCTTCATGTCGCACTTCGACCAGCAGCAGCAGACAAGGACACCTGCACATTCAACACAGAGCAACAGGGGAAATATGGGATTAGCACCAATGAGTCTCGACAACTCATCATTCGGGCGGCACAATCAGGCGCCTACCTTTGCGCATTATCACTCTTCACCGGGGACGTTCGAGTTCATGCCGCCCCGTGCTCAATCGACAGCAGCTGCATCACAACAGACACCAAACGAGATATTGAGTCTCCAGGCGCAGTTTTCTGATGTGATCAAACTGCAGACATCTTCACCATTCAACGGGCACGACTTCTTTACTTGGAGTTTTGAGTTCGAACTGCTAATGGAGGCCGCGCACCTCTTGGGATACTTCAACGGGTCCCTGCCATTTCCAAGTAATGGCACTGCAAAGGAGCAGGAAATCTTCACTTATCAGTCGCTGCTGGCGTACACAGTCCTCCTGCGAAATCTGTCACCACAAGAGCAAAAGGGCATCAGAACGTATCGGAGCTACGGAAACTCCGCAGAGCTCGCCTGGCATCATCTGAAGTGTCTCTATCAAGCGAACGACAGCGTGACACAAAGCAGACTCATGCAGCAGTTGACCACAATACAAATGAAGACCGGGGAAAAGGCGATGCAGTATATGAGTCGCTGTCAGACACTCCGCGACCGTCTGCTTCGGTGCGGAGGTACAATCACTGAAGAAAGCTTCGTGACACTTGTCCTCGCCGGGCTCGGGCCAGAATGGAGAACCACCCACTCGCTTCTTCGCGCCCACGGACGAATTTCCGAGATGCACCTCTGCGCCGAGCTTCATGCTAAACAACAGGAGATGGACCTGTTTGAAGAACGACAACCACGAAACAAGCATCAGCCATTAGTCTTCTACACTCAAAGAAGAAACGACAACAACTACAACCGACGTGATAAGCAGAATTGATATGACACAAGAGGTCTCACCATCGTGCCGCCGTTCTGCCACAATTGTCAAACATCCGGACACTCCAAGGTTAACTGCGCGCGCCCTCGAGTTTATCGTCCAGCAGATCCGCAAGTCGCCTCCACTCAAGAGAATCCGCCAAGCCGCTCCTCTACACCTGCAGCTCATCAACTGCATGGTACGGATCGACAGCTGCAGACCCGAGTCACCACCCACTTACGCTCCAGACGAAGAAGAACTGCCGCCGCCGCGCTCAGAAGGTCTTCAAGTCAAACCCCACGTATGCTGCAGTTCCCAATGCCGAACCCACTGGACGAAACACCTGGTTCTTGGACAGTTGGTGCGGCCAATACATGTGTTCTTCCGGGCGCTTCGTGCAACGGGAACGACGCCTCAATTGCGATGTCATCATCACCGTCGCCAACAATGAGAACCTGAAAACAAATAGACAAGGAGTGGTTCAACTTCAGTCAATGGAGACAAACGTCATACTATAACTCAACAAAGTTCTCATCGTCGACAACTTGCGATACAATCCACTAAGCATTAGCCAGTTAATGGCGAAGGGAATTCACCTGGAATGCGACTCGGACGCCAACGAGTTTCGACTTTACCATGGGAAGGGCGGCCTCTTCATCGATCGCGCTCTCCTGAAGTCAGGCGTCTTCGTGCTGGACTTTGTCCCTGACTGCGGAACTGCCGACAGCGACGGCATCGTGTCATTTGCTGCCTGGACGCATCCGCCAGATCTTGACCCCGACTTCACTTCAGACGGATTTTGGTACTCCAACACCATCCCTGCAGCAGAGAGAACACGAGCATTAGCAGTCATCCGACAAGAACGACAAGTACCAGCAAGCGTCCCTCACCCGACATCACCTGCAGTAGCAGCAGCTGGACCCAGCCGTGCGCCATCACAAGCAATCCAAGGATCGCCATCCCAAGCAGATCAACTCATGCCCATCGCCCGAGGAGTCTGCCGCAGTCCCGCCACGGTTGTCGCGTTCTTCTCCAACGCTGACATGTACCAGCGCTCACCCGGCCATCGCGCACCCGACGACATCTGGCATCAACGCCTCAGACACCCTGCAAACAGCACAGTACTACAAACCATACAAGCCGGAGTATTAGAAAAGGCACTCTTCTCACAACGAGCGGCCAGGAGCTTCGACGACCCCGCGCACGATGCTTCATGTGTCCCGAGGCTGATCCTCCCTACCAACCTTTTCCGTCGCACCACAATCCAAGCGCACCTACATATGCACCGATGGAAAAAGTCTACAGCGACATCTTAAATATGCCTCGAGATGACAGTGAAGCAG